CGAATTTGGGATTTTTTTTATTAAAATCAAATTGAATTGAATTCAATCAGCTTGAGATTTGGTTGTTATGTATATAAATTAAAAAATTAATAATTAGAGTAAGCATGACTAAAAAATCTAATTCAAAAACTTTAATCTTATAGAAAATTTTAAAGAATTTTTAGATTTATTTAAGGTTTTCTCACCATTTTTACTTGATTATTTATTTGTGTAAATTTTAATTCTGTAATGATTTAAATTAACAAAATAATAATTAAGAAATTAAAAAATATTAAAAAAATATAAAAATAATTTTTTAGAAAATTTTAAAGTGATTTTAGATTTATTTAAGGTTTTTTCACCATTTTTACTTGATTATTTATTTGTGTAAATTTTAATTCTGTAATGATTTAAATTAACAAAATAAAAATTAAGAAATTAAAAAATATTAAAAAAATATAAAAATAATTTTTTAGTTAATTCTAAACTGATTTGAGGGGGTTATTCTTAAAAAATAAACCAAAACCAATAGAATTCATTTTTTTCAGTTTAGTTACTAATTTTTAAAATCTAATATCCCAAATTTTGGTTAATCAATAGTTTAATTTTGATTACAACCAAAACCGAAAGCATACCCACTCCTAGCCTTGGTAGTGGGAACCATTACCGTGATTACATATGCAACTTAATTGAAGAATATGCCACATTACTAATTTTTTATTTTTTTGATGTTTTAAAGGAAATAATTCAAAGGCAACCTTTTTGTATTATTTTTAGCACAATCTTATATGTTATTCAAATGATTAACTTTTTTAATTCATTTAATATTTGTGATATTAAATGTATCTTTTCATTTAATGATATATAGAAGTTATATAAGTACCAAAAATATTTTCTCTATATCACTATCTTATTTTCTATGTCATTTTTACAAAAAAAAAAAAAAGAATTAAACAAAAAATTTTGTTTGTTAACATGTCATGTTAGTAAAAATTACATGGAAATACCAAAAAGGGGCTAGAAATAAACTTTTAAGGACTAAAAGAAGACTTTTTTAAGTTTTGAGACCAAAAGAGGTTTTGTACTAAAGTTAAGAGACCAAATCGGAATTTTAACTTTTAACCTTTTACTTTCGGGTGTAAGTCTTTTCTGCCTGGCTTCTTGAGAAATGGGCATACCAAACACACCACGTCTGGTTGGATAGTATCCACCGGGGACCTTCCGGGCACCACAGGTTGAAATGCTAAATGCTCCATTATTATTTTAGAATAGATTTGGAGGTTGAAAACCAAGACATCAAATATTTATAGGATCTCTTCAATCTAGATATTTAAATGTAATTAATAGTTGCTATTATACAACTGATAGTTATTATTATTTATAACTCAGATATGGTTATTTATCTTATTAAAAACCAATAAGTGATAGTTGTTTCCTAACAATTAATTTAAACAAAACCACACAAGGCTAAAAGGTCTACACCTTCGTCTTGTTTGATCTTCTCCCAAATGGGTCAAATCAAATCAAATTAGTTAATAAATTAAATGACAATCTTTCACATTTATTTAATAAGTAAATATATACTAATTCATGCACATTTTACCTAAGAAAAATAGTGTACCATAATTAATTATTAATTAGATATTGCAAGACTCTAGTTATTATAAGATAAGATCATGAGTGGATTATTTTTCCCAAAGTAATTAATAGTCCATATATTTGCGCCTCTTTCTCTTTGAGTCCTCTTATCATTTTTCTTATCCAATAATTCTGGTTGTCATGCATGGATGCACCTTAGGAACAACCGGTAACAAAGTTAAGAATGCAACTGGGAAAGGCGTTCTTTTTTCTATATGAGGACTTGTTTGGTATAACGGTTAAAATTCAACGAATAACAGGCAATAGATGACCGTTAGTGGTTAATAGATAGCAGAACATGAGTAGCAGATAGTAGCATTCTTTTTTCTATATAAGGACTTATTTGGTATAACGGTTAAAATTCAACGGATAACAAGTAGTGGATAACGGATAGCGGATAGTAGGAGCAGATAACAGATGGCCGTTAGTGGTTAACAGATAGTAGAAAATGTGTAGCGGATAGTAGAAAATGAGCAGCGACTAGCAAATGGCGGATTCGATGGATATAGCTGTTTAGTTATGTAATAGTTAGCAATTGTTATTCAATATTAAATAACTAATAAGAATATGTTTAAAAATAATTAAGTGTATTTTTTAAAATATTTTTTGACTTTTATTATTAAAATTATTAATTTTATAAAAATAACAATAACAATTAGTTATAATACTGTAATTACACCATTATTTTTATTTTTAACAAAGAAAAAATATATTATTTTTTTAAATTAATTATTTTGTCTAATTAACAAAATTTTTTATTAAGATAATATATTTTTAATGAAAAATTAATATAAAGAAAAAAAATATAATAATTACTTAATGTTATTAAAGGTAAAAAAATAAAATTAAAACTTATTAGATAAATATTAATTAAAAACTATAACAAAAAGTTAAAAAATTAAAATGAATAAATTTGTCAATAAAATTAAAAAATTCCAATCTAATAACAATTTGATATAAAAAGCTACCTAAACTAGTTTTTGCAATTTTCTAACAATTTGGATTTCACGGTTATGCACTAGCCTTAAACTACTAAACAAAAATTTTTACCAAATACTTTATTTGTAATAATTTCAAAATATATAAGTTTATTAAATACTTATTCTTAATGATTTGAGTAAAACTACAAACGTTACTCCAAAATCGTCATACTAAACACGCCCTAAATTAGAGTGAGCGAAGCATTAAGCCACACATAGTCTATACTTCATTTGTTAGTTCTTTCTCATTCGTAGGTCAGCATACCATATATCTTTGCTTCTTCATCATGAGATTCTCCTCTATTTTTCTACTTCTCATTCTTTCTTTTGTATAATCATTAGACATCTCTGAATTAATATATATTTTAGTGTTTGTTTGGCACAACTTTTTTGCTGCAGCAGATGAAGTTAGATCAAACACCTAATATAATTAAAAAGCTTAATTGAACATTCTTTTTTTTTTTTTTGATAAAATTAAAGATATATTAATAATAGAAAGAATTACAATGTATCAATGGTTTGATGAAATGAAATGAATTTGCAGTAACTTATAAGACGGTGACCTCCAACAGAACTGCAATGGAAAATATTACAGTGAAGAAAAAGGAAGCTCTATTTCCTTTCAAATCTTGATTAGACATTTCCTTATCCAATAGGGATTGTGTTTTCCTACAGGGGATGTTATAAAAGAATCACCAGCTAAGATCTTGGTCAAGTTTTATCCTTTTGCAGGTTGCCTTGCGGTGGGATGGGATGGAAAAATGCAGGTCCAATGCACTGGATCGGAGAAGGTGTGCCGTTTGTTTATACGTTGGAAGAGCTGGTTGACGTTAGCATCGGGGATCCAGTGAAGCTGCGCCAATTCATTCACTACTTAGACGATGTCAATGGTATTCTAGACATACCCCGTTAACAGTGCAAGTAATATAGATGTGTATGCATGCGTGCGTGCACACGTCAAATTTGAAGTAATTGCATGGATATGACATGTGATCTAACTTTACATTTTTTTTTAACAACAATCAATTTTAATAATGTTGTCATTGGAGTACAAAGGGTCTTTTTACCTATCTACAATAACTATCGTGCAAAAAGATAATACATCAAAACCTTATAAAAGTGCATTAGATATTATTCCATCTGATTAATGCAAGGTGCCGTGCTTCCCTCTTTTAATTTCTGCAGATGTTATACTTAGGATTGGTTCCTATAGCCAATCAGTAAATGAAATTCCCTTATATTCTCTCACACCCCGAAGCCACTGATAAGATCTAGCTTGAACTAGGTCCAAGAGCCTCCCCTCATCCAAAGTTGCGCTTCGGAACAGTACAGCAATGCAATTAATCTAGCTTTACATAATATGATTTTGATTTGTTGATTTAATTTTCAGATGACAAAAATGAGATGTGGAGGCATTGTGCTTGGAATATCAATGAACCATGTCCTTATTAACGGTCAAGCATTAGCCAATTTTCTCAACCCTTGGACCGAAATTACTAGAGGCATGCTCTTACCTCGTGAACCATTTCTAGACACATCTATATTATCTCCAAGGAAGCCTCTTGCTGTAGACATTTCTCACCCGGAATACGTAAAATTGGAGACTCAGTCGAAGAAAGACATGATTTACATCTGACTCCAACAAGAACCCCTCCAATACCAATCCTTCTGCTTTGAACCCAAAAAAGTGAAACAACTTAAAGCAATTTGGCAAGGAAAATGGATCTGTCCAAAATCCCACGAGCTTCGAAGTCATCTCTGCACTTATGTGGGTTCTAAGGACCAAAGCTTTTAAAATCGAGCCCCACAAAACAACCGAGCTCCTTACTGCCGTGAACGGCAGGCCAAAGTTCAACCCTCCATTCCGTGAACGTTACTTAGGTAATGGCAGGGGCGGAGCCAAGAATTTTAATTAAGGGAAATTGGATTTTTAAATCTTAAAATAATGTATTGTAATTTTAAAAATTTACTTTTATATCATATATTAAAATAATACTTAATGAGTCTTCATGTCACAAAATTTATTTATAATATTGTTTAAATTAAATGAATGAATTATTTCTTTTTTAATATAAACAATCAAAAAGTTTGAAAGTGATTCATCCTCTATTTTGTTGCAAAATCTCGTTTTCACAATTTTCATGGTAAAAAATACTTTTACTATTATTGCTATAGATACTGAAACAGTAAACATTAAAGTAATTAACTTGTAAATGAAACTATAAATTTCTGATTTTCTTGTTCCACAAACTATTGACATAGTTTTAAAATACGACAATATTCTATCGTTTTACCCTACCACTT